CAGTTATGTTTCTTTCTATGGTTAAAGCTAAAGTAGTTTCATTTTTATCAAAATATTTATTGATCTCAGTTCAGTTAGCTTTGCTCTTTGAATTTAAATTTAGAATCACTATTTTAATGTTTCATTTAATCAAGGTCGTTGTTAATGTTATGTTTATGTCTTTCACATTTTTTTTTTTAAAGCATGATTATTGCAACATAAATATGTTTCATTATTCATTAACTTTTATTTATTATTTGCAAGTGTTGACTTATTTTTTTTTACCAGCCTTTATCACTACTATTGAGAGAAAAACTAATTATCTAGTACTCTAAAGATCATGTGTTGAACAATTGCATGGAGTTTAATAAGTGAAATATTTCATTAAATTATTTGTTACCTCAGTTCAATCTTTGTAATAGCATGTTTCTTTGCATGTAAAATTAGTAGAATTATTTATTCAGTATTTAATTGAGATGCAAGGGATGCAAGAAAAGTCCATTAGTTATTTTATAATATTTATTACACCAAAATACCATTAATTTAATTTAAGCTATTCAATAACAATTTTATTTATTTAGTTCCAAAAGAAATTTATGTATTTAAGTGTTCTGAGGTTAAGCAATCCTAATAGTAAACTTTTCGTGTATTAACTCATATTATATCTAATTCAAGTAATTTTCGATGATTAGATTTGTATGGTTTGATTAATAATTGCATAATTTCATTTTATGTATGTAAATATTAATTTATTATTTAAGTTATCAGGATAGGCACGGGCAGGGGGGCCTATGCGGGACGATGATTGGCAACATAGATGAAAATACACCTTTTGAATACGATTCTTGCTTGGAGCTGGATAATGTTTTTGAAAGCGAAATTTTTTTTAATGAACCCCCAATAAATAGTAGTCTTAAAATATTTCACACGAACATCAGAAGTTTCTCAAAAAATTTTGACAATTTATCAGTGTATTTACAGTCTTTGAATGCTAATCTAGATATCATCGTCTTATCAGAGTGTTGGTTGAGCGGGGGGAGGTGGGTCACATGGACGGGTTTGACTGTACAATGACGGATACACAAAACAACAAAAATGACGGAGTCATTGTTTTCATCAACAAACAACTGTCTGCTACCGTAACACAAGTAAACATCAACAGAGTTTTTGGTATTTCTTTGGAATTCAGTCTTTTTAATAAAACATTCAATCTGTTAGCTGTTTATAGGACTTTTGATTGTGAAATTGATCATTTTATATCTGGTTTGGAATGCTATTATAATCGCATAAGTAAAGATACTAACTGTATCTTTTTGGGTGATATTAACATCGACTTACACAAAACTGATGCAATAACGGATCTTTACTTAAACACTTTACTAGGCGCTGGACTAGTCCAGTGCATCGACAAGCCGACCAGAGTGACACACAACACATCTACTTGTATTGACCACATTTTTGTCCGTTTCCAAGATATGAGACGAGTCAAATCTGCTGTCATACACTCTCATATCACTGACCATTACAGCACTGCTCTTACAATCACTAACACCATTCAGACACCTACAGGAACTGAAACTCAGTCACAGAACCAATTTCGCACCTACATTGATCACGCTACATTAACTGAACATATTACAAAAACAGACTGGAGTCCAATCATGAGCAATCACGAGGTTAATCAGTGCACAGCATGTTTTTGTTCGACACTGAGTAACTGCATCAAAGCCTCAACTAAAACAATCAAACATCACTCTACAAGATTAAAAAAAATAAAGCCTTGGATTACCGTAGATCTCATAAAATTAATTCGAAAACGAGACAAGCTAAGTAAAAAGATCAAAACCCAACCGTTTAATTTATTACTACTAGATAGATTCAGGGCCCTGCGCCTATCTTTAAATCAAAACATAAAAATTGCAAAGAAAAATTATTATAGGGGTAAAATTTCAGAATCTAACAGGGATCCAAAATTATTTTGGGGCATAGTTAGTGAAATATCAGGCAGGAATTGCACTAAGGACCATTTCCCATTTGAAAAAGTTTTACCTGGTTCTTCGAATAATGCGAACATTAAGATTAAAATAGCAAACGATTTCAATAACTTTTTTACATCAGTAGGTTCTAAATTGGCCAACTCAATAAATTCAGCACACGGTCACACACGCTGACATAGAACGTTACGTCCAGGGTCTGCGCGGAGGGTCTGCGCCGGGCCATGATGGTATCTCGGCCTTTGTTCTTAGAGAAAACATCCACTCTCTATGTGCTCCTCTTCTGCACATTGTCAATATTAGCCTGACATCTGGTATATTCCCAAACGAGCTGAAATTGGCCAAGATCATTCCATTGCACAAATCTAATGATTTCACAGACATGAATAACTATCGTCCGATTTCTTTGTTAAGTGTAATTGCTAAGCTTTTAGAGAAAATTGCCAAAGACCAACTTGTTTTTTACCTCCACCAGTGCAATATTTTAAGTGAAAATCAGTATGGTTTCAGGAGTGACAAAAACATATCTGATGCTTTATTTGATATTAATAAATACATTAACGAGGCAATTTATGGCAACAAACGAAGCATGTTAATTTTCTTAGACTTGAAAAAAGCTTTTGACTCAGTGGACAGAAGTAGATTGTTGCGTAAACTTGAGCTTGTCGGGGTGCGTGGCACCTCGCTCGCTTGGTTCAGCAGCTACCTCTCTGATAGGCTGCAAACTGTCGCACTTGGTGAAGTGGCAAGCGATGTATTGCCAGTGGAGTATGGTGTAGTCCAGGGTTCGACCCTTGGTCCTGTTTTATTCCTCATTTATATTAATAATATTTCTAAAATTCAAACAGAAGGAAAATTAACATTATTTGCTGATGATACTCTAATATTTGTAACCGGAGCATCCTGGGAGGAGGTTAAAAACAAGGCAGAATCAGACCTCTGTTTACTAAAAAAATGGCTTGATCAAAATGTATTGTCCCTTAATATATCTAAAACAAAATTTATGCCAATTTCATTACGCAAGATAACCGAATACAAACTTGATAACCTAACTATTCATGTCTGTGGAAATCATTTCAATAACTCTTGTTTTTGTAGCAAAATTGAAAAAGTTGATTCATACAAATATCTTGGTATTGTTTTTGATTCAAAGATGAAATGGTCGGAACATGTTGAATACCTAAAAAATAAATTACGTAAATATATTTATGCATTTAGGCAACTTAGTGATATTCTCGAAGAGCAAGAAATTAAAATAGCATACTATGCATATGTTCAATCATTGTTGTCTTTTGGAATTATTGCTTTTGGTGGTGCTTACAAAACTATCTTGCAACCTGTTTTTGTAGTGCAGAAAACAATACTTAAAGTTGCTTTTAAAAAACACTTTAGATATTCAACTGACGATCTTTTTGTAGAATCGGGAGTTTTGACAGTCAGGCAGTTATTTTTAAAATTTATTTTAGTTCACATGTACAAAAACTTTGATAATATTTTTGTAAAAATTACTCATCCCCACAATACGCGCTTTTCTCGAAATGTTGGTGTAAGTGTTCCACAAACTTTCAAATCATTTTCAAATACGAATTGCTTTCACTTAACCCAAATCATTTATCGTAACATGTGTAACAGATATCAAAATGTCAACATTCTAAATTCACCCTCTCTCTCTCTATTTAAGAAGCATGTTGTGGGGTGGCTTGTTGGTCTGAGTACGGAGGACACCGAGGCCGTTATCGCGTTGGGCGGACCTGACCGTTGACCCTACACAATCACTGATACACCACTTTCACTGACTGACTAATACACTACACCCCACCTCTCCTCTTCAATCTTCACCAGATATTATAAATTACCTCTGTTTGCACAAAGAGTTTTTTTTTTTTTTTTTTTTTTTTTACCGTCAATTTATTCCAGAACACTAAAAATTCAGCTTCAAGCAAGACAAATAAAAAAAAAGGTTTAAATTATACGATTTTTTTTCTCCTATATATTTTTACTTCCCATTTAAATTAATCTTTTCGCAACTCAGTCTACGCACAGGCCCTGCCTATGTAGACTTTTTCCTTTCTTATAGAATGTATTTTTTTTTTAACACTTTTATTTACTTATTTCTACAGTATATAATTTTTGTTTTGTTAGCTAGTTAGTAATATTTTGCTGTTTCATATTTAAGAAAAGAAAAAAATACAATGTACTTGTCTGTAAATAATTAATGGGAAATAAAATATTATTTCATTTCATTTCATTTCATTTCATGAATGTCAAAGATGCGTGTCGCCAGCCGCCATGTTTGCGTGAGTCTGGTGTCATAAGAAGCCATATTATTGCTATAACTATTATTATACTTGGCTTAAAATACCTACTTTGTATGGTCGCCATTTCAAAGAAAATTATTAAAGTATTAAAAGTATTCAAGTATGACAAAAATACTCACTGCTATACCAACCTAGTTATAAGAAGCCATGTCATTGCTATGGATAAGAAAACTTACTGCTATACCAACCTAACAAAATCAGCGACACGCTTTTGACAGACTTCTGCCATGGCAGTGCTACCTCCAGTTATAATTTTAGCTCAGTGCGTATAACCAATATAACACATCACTAAAATGTTAAACCTCTTTGGAAAAGCTGTGCGCTTGCTTCCTTGCTTGTGCTTTTGCGCTTCTGTGAGTGACGTCATGTGTAGATTATTTGCACTGGTAAATGCCGCCATTGTGTACGAGAATTCTTTCTCAAAATAAATCCCATTTAATCCATGTTTATATTGCAAATTTCTAATGTTTGAGGGCTGATGTAAAAGGAACAGTGAGTTCAGTTTTAGTTAAGATACCTTCGCTTTGATATGGCCGGTAAGTGTAACAAGTTTTTCAATTGCAAGTGGGTCGAAGATTGACCTAGGTTCTTGCGTCTTGCCCTATTTTAAATTAAACGTTAACATTGAAAGCCATTTGCTTGTTCAAAGACATATTTATCACTTTGTACAATGTTTTACACATATTTCTCTTACCACTATTTGTTTCAGGGAACGGTGACATTCAATGGTGTTTTTCTCAGGTGAAAGGGACGCTCGACGACGACGTTACCGAAGGTGAGTTAATTACTAAAGATTTAATGTTAGGTATACCCTTAGTGCTTAAATTGTGGACTAGGCCTATGTTCAGTATCTGTTTCTTCTATCTTAAATCTAACTTAAACAATCTTAAAGGTTTCATCCTTTTTGAGGCGTAATAGATCAATGTTTACTACACAGTTAGTTGCTTCTTTGAGGTTAGGCCAAGTTATATGCTGGTAAGGTAGGTAGGCCTAATCAGATCTTTATTAGAAAAATTGACTTAATTTCTAAGTATAGACACGGCAATTATGCAGGAGATTGTGACCAAGAGAACTATAGAAATTTAGGTAATTATTTACCCTATTTACACTGGGATTTGATGTAATTTATATATGTCTACTTACAGTATTTTTAACGCTGAATCAAAAAATGCAATCAGTTTTAGTCGGAGAGATTCCTAAGTAGCCGTACAGTTATATAATTAATATTAAGCTTCAGTTTTGTTGATTTATTAACATATTTGTGGTACACTAATAGGGGTGGGAGGTTTGTGGAGTGGAAACAGCTGTCGGCTGTATACATTCTATACTAAACAGACAAAACCACACACAACGCCATGAGAACAAAATCAGAGTTGTTACAATATGCAATAACTAGATTTTAAAAAGAAAATGGACTTTGGTGCTGTTTAGAAAATACAATAAATCAACTACGATAATCCATTTTCCTAATCCATTTTTGGATTACATAAACTATTACTGTAATCACATGAACATAAATTTTAAAACAAAATAGGCCTATAATTTATTCACGTGAAATATCAGTAATAGAAGCTAGGCCACTGCCGCCATGATCATCGTCCCATTCCAATTCTCAACCATTGACTAATGCCTCAACGTCTGGTAATGAACGTGCTATAGTGCATAATCCCATAGTACATAAGTTAATCCCATTGTGTCTAAAAGTGAAAACGTGCCACAGTGCATAATTGAATGTATCAGTAACTAACCCAACCCAACCTTAATATTAATGTTTAAATCACATTTTATGTCAGAAAAGGCATCTGAGGAAGATAGGCCGGACTTTGTGCGGATTCGTGACTATATTAAGACCTTTAAAGTGAGGTTAGATTAGGAAGGTAAAGGTTAGGTTATAATGAACCGACTCATTAATTTATGCAACTTCCAGACTGTTTTTGCACAATTAAATAGTGGGTTAAACACATTGAAATAACTATTTAAAAAATGTGCAAGCTTTTTGACCTTCCTTTAACCTTTAACCTTCCTAATCTAACCTCACTTCAAAACACTTAGGCCTAATACAGTCACGAATCCGCATAAAACCCAACTTACCTTCCTCACATGAATAAATAAGAACTGATTATTTGGTTTCAAAACGAATTGATTTGATTTCATTCCGCATTAGATGAAGTACATAAACAGTTGTTTGCTCTTCTCACTCAGTCCTCACTCTTCACTCTTCAATCACTCAGTACGGACCCGTCCAGACCACGCCATATTACCATTAGCCTACCACCTTCAGTACCGCTCAATTATCCTTAGATTCGTAATCCTAACCTTCGTTTTACGGCTACTTAGGAATCTTTCCGACTAAAACTGATTGCATTTTTGGATTCAGCCTTAAAAATACTGTAAGTAGACATATAAAAATTACATCATATCCCAATGTAAATAGCCTACGGTAAATATTTGCCGAAATTTATATATCATTAGAAACTAGATTTTTACCTTAAAACAATCCTGCAAAAAATTGCTGTCAAAAAGTGAATTAAACTACGTTTGAAATTCATTTTAATGTTGTATTAGGAACGTTGAATCTGCACTTCAATATTTACACTTTAAAATTGAAGGGTAATTCTGAGCAATTACTTGGTCAACCCCAATTTTTTTCATATTATAACTTACTACACAGTCATTAGGATGTTCTCAGAAAGCAAGAAACATATCATTCAAGCCCCGCTAGGCCATCGTATAGTTTGCCGAGCGATAAGAAGGTTTAATGTCCAAGCGATAACAGAGGCTTGCGGGAAACGCGCGGAAGGCCACTTGTGACAGTACCGCTATGGCTTAGTGGTTCCTCCGAATCCTTTTCTATCTGACGGGTGTGAGAACACGTTACTTAGTTTAGAATACTGATCCAGTTGCCGCTGACTCGGATGAGGACGTTGAACCCGGCGATTACTGAGGTAATTTCTATTTGTATATAACATATATTAACTTTCCTAAATTATGTTTTTTTTTTAGTTTTAGGTAAGTACATACATCTCTAAGGCCAATTGTGACAGTACCGTTATGTTAGGTTAGGTAGCAGTTTAAGTAAGGTTATTAATTAACCTAACCAAACCTAACGTAACCCAACACCCGTCACATAGAAAAGGATTATCAGAGGAACCACTAGCCATAGCCATAACGGTACATTCACAACTGGCTTTCCGCGCGTCTCCCGCAAGCCTCTGTTATTGCTTGGACTTTGAACCTTCTTATCGCTCGGCAACATGTACGATGGCCTTGCGGGGCTTGAATTATAAGTTTCTTGCTTTCTGAGAACATCCTGATGACTATAGTAAGATATGAAAAAAATTGGGGTTGACCAAGTACTTAATTGCTCAGAATTACCAATCGAAGTTATTAGGCCAAGTCACATTAACTTATTGATTGATTATACGGTAGGCTATGCACGGCTATTAAAGAAAATATTACCCTCAACCCACAATCAGACAGGTAGGCCTAGGCTAGGATTTAAATATGTTAAATTAGAGGCTAAATGAAATATTTGGTAATTATTTGATATATCTACAATGCTATAACTTATCGTGCAATTTTTAGATGTCTACTTACAGTATTTTTCACGCTGAGTCCAAAAATGCAATCAGTTTGTCGGAGTGATTCCTAAGTGGGCGTACAGTTAAAGATTCATATTAAGCTTTAGTTTTGTTGGGATATTCACCTATTTGTGGTTTGGACGAGTCCAAGTTCTAGTGCCGACTAACACTGAAAAGGGTGGAAGGTTTGTGGAGTGGAAACATCTGTCAGTTGTTTACATTCTATACTAAACAGACAAAACCACACACGACGCCATGAGAGCAAAATTAGAGCTACAATATACAATAACTCGATTTTTAAAAGAATATAGACTTTGGTACCGTTTAGAAAATACAATAAATCAACTACCATACATAAACTATTAATCACATCAACATAAATTATTAAAAAAATTAGAATTGATTCACGTAAAATATCAGTAATAGAAGCTAGGCCACTGCCGACATGATCGTCCCCATTCCAATCCTCAACGTCTGTTAATGAACGTGCCATAGTACATAATCCAATTGTGCCTAAAAGTGAAAACGTGCCACAGTGCATAATTTTATGTATCAACAACTAATAGCCTAAATGATGTTAGGCTATATAATCTAATCTAATCTAACCTAACTCAAACCAATTTTAATATTAATTTTTGAATAAAATTTTATGTCAGAAAAGGCATGTGAGAAAGATAGATCGGGTTTTATGCGGATTCGTGACTGTATTAAGTGTTTTGAAGTGAGGTTAGATTAGGAAGGTAAAGGTTAGGTTATAATGAACCGATTCATTAATTTATGCAACTTCCAGACTGTTTTTGTACAATTAAATAGGTAGTGGGTGAAACACAATGAAATAACAATATCAAAAATGCGTAAAAATGTGTCTTATGGAGAAAAAGAAAATTGTTGTAGTTTACTTGGTTATGGATATATATTGATAAAATTTGGTAAATTTATTTATTTCATCCTCTACTGTTGACATATGGTCAAAAAACACTTTTTACCTTCCCCGTAGCAGCAAACCTAAGCACGCATTAAATCTAATGTTATTTAAATAGGGTAATAAATTAAAAGAATAACAAACAAATAAGTACAGCTGAAGTATTTTTAACGTTAGGTACTGTATATGAAAGTTCCCTTTAGAAAGGAATTACGACCTTAAAGGGCAATTTGTGAAATAATGGATAATTTTGCGCAAGGTTTCTCGTCATGACGAACAATTTAAGTATATGGTTTATGGGGGTGTGACTTGTAGTTTTCTCAAAAGTTCATGGGTACTTTTGGCTTTATATATAGATAGGGAATAAATATGTCTTATTTATAGAAATACTAGCTGTACCCACGGGCTTTGCCCCGTTTAACTTCATAAGTATTCGCATGGCTCAATCACGTCCCGGTTGATGTTCGTTCGCTTCGCTCACTCACCTTTAGGTTGGAGCTCGTTCGCTGCGCTCACTTGTTTTCAGGTTAGCTCGTTAGCTACGCTAACTCGCCTCCAGGTTGATGTTCGTACGCTACGCTCACTCACCTTTTGTTTGCAAATTAGCTGTTGTCATAAATTTTAAAAAGTCATCCCTTTTTTTGTTTATACAGTAATACTTTGATAAAGGTTTTTATGTTTTAATTTTTAACATTAGAGAATTTAAACGTTGTTAAGTGCAAAGGTGTGCTGCGATTGGGGTTTAATACATTTGGACGTGTTCAAAAGTAAAATAGTTTTCTGTGCTGCATTCTGTAGAAACACTGTGGCACTATTTCAAATCATGACTAATGCTAATACAGAATGTTGTAATCATTCAAACCTACAAAACAGTTGGTGAAAGTAAACATCTGCTTTTAAATTATATTTATTTGTAAACATTGTAGATCAAAAAGTCTGACATTGGCCCACTTAAAACCCTCTGGGGCAGAGCCCTTTTGACAGATCTGCACCAAACTTCACTCGAACCATCCTTGAAAGATGCTTAATAATGCCTGAAAGTTTCATTACAATCTGTCAAGCGGTTTCGGAGTCCATAACGTATATACATACACACACACATACATAGTTCCTCTTTTATAGATATAGATTTTAGTAAAAATGTAATAGACAAGTTGAAATTCACTTAGTCTGCAGGTTTGCTGCGGTGGAGGTATTTATATTTTACTGTGTTCCAACTGAATATATTTCTAGTGCGGTTAGTAGACTACAGTAGCCTAATAGTTTTGTTTT